GTCGTTCAGCCTTGATGCTAGCATCAATAGCCAAGCTAACTCTCTTTGCCTCTGCCTCATTCTGCAGCCTTACCGCACGGTCTTCTGGAGACTCGTCCGGAGGTGGCTTGAGCACCTCGTCGAGTGGGTCGTCAGCGGTGCGCACGGGCATCTCAAGTAAGAGATAAGTATGATGATGATGGGGGGTTTGAGGGGTTTGGATTATTGACGCCAGCCAGGTACAGCAGTCATATCAATCATCTCTATACATACTGGGTGACTTTCCGTAACCCAAACCTATAAAAACGAATAAATCCGACCCTTATCGGAGCTTGAAACGAGAACTTCCCACAAGAGTTTAGTGGACCGAATAAACCATAACGCCAAACATAATAGATTTGATTAGATCCGCGATTTGATTCATTTACCCTCTGCTGTGTTCTAATGGACGAGATCGTGTACGCGTTGATACAGCAGGAAGAGGAAGATGGCGAAGATGATCTTGAGCAAGAGCTTGAGCAGGGTGCTGCTCTCGCAGCTGTTGCACTCATGGTCGTTGGGGCGGAGGAGTCTCGCATGCTGCGCGCGGAACGAAGACAACCAAGTCGGCTGTATCTCTGTCGGCCGCAGCTCCTTCCAAACCCTCGTAAAGACACCCCATGGCAAGTGCTTTACCAAAGCCGCTCCGATCGTGCCTTCATCACCACCATGGGATTTGATGTGGATGCTTTTGAACACATCATTAAATCAGGTTTTGCGCGTATGTGGTATGAAAGACCCATTGATCGCTCAGATAGCGCCATGACTACAGGGGATCCTCGGCCCTCAGCGCGATCGCTAGATGCGTGGGGCGCACTTGGCCTTGTTCTCCATTATCTTAATTCGACCATGCGTGAAGTCAGCCTCCAACAAATCTTTGCCCTCATTCCCTCAACAATATCTCGCTACATCACATTCTCCTTGCGTCTCCTCTTTGAAACCCTTGACAACATTCCGGAATCTTTCATTAAATACCCCAAATTACTACGTGAATTCCAAGAAAACAGTGACCTCATTGTTTCTCGACATCCACGTCTTCATGGTGCATTTGCGAGTCTTGATGGACTCAATTTGGCTGTCCAAACCTCAGAGGATGTAGACATTGAGAATGCTACATACAATGGATGGCTTTCAGAGCATTTTGTAAGTTCTGTACTAATGTATTCTCCCAAAGGTGTGCTACACAACTTGTGAAAATATTTTTAAACTAAATTGGTTGCCTTAGGACCTATCATTGCTGCTAATATTAATGCGCCGGGCAGCTGGCATGACTCACGCGTTGCGCAACCAATCTATCGCAAACTAGAAAGGGACACACCAGACGGATTTTATGTTGTTGCAGACACGGCATTTCCTCGCGGTACCCAAAGTATAGCTGGTCGGATACAGGCTCCTGTCAAGACGGGACAGCATATGCAAGGGACTGCTGAACAAATAGAGGAGCGATTTGCCTTTGACAGGGAACTGCTTTCCTATCGCCAGACAGCTGAATGGGGAAATCGCGCTCTGCAAGGCTCATTTGGACGCTTACGAATTCCCCTCGAAATCAATGATAGCCAGAGAAGGGGAGATTTGATTGAAACATGCATTCGGCTTCACAATTTTCGTGCAGAACGAGTGGGACTCAATCAGATTCGCAATGTGTACATGTAGTGATGTGCAAGGGTA